TAATGGAAATGCAAGTGGGCTACATCGTATTCCTACACATGTTCGACTAATTTTTTAAATTGATTTTTTTCCCACGCAAATTCCGCGCAAAGAAATTTATTTCTTTTCTGCTCGTTCTTGCAAGAAGAACCGTCTCTTCCTCGATTATAAGAATGCTAAAATTGCGACTTTTGTATCTATGCGACAAAACGTATCTTGGCTTTAATTCTATCTTTTGTCTTTTCTATCAAGATGGAAATGGTTAAAAATGTATTTCATAGTTTTGATCAAGTTTATTCCAATTAGTTATTTGGTTTGTGTAAAGTGATATTATCGGATCCTAATTATTTGTTAATTATAATCGGGTCCTTTTTATTAATCTTTGGACTTTAAATTTTGGAGTAAACGGGACCTCTGTTTTATATGCGTTTTTCATTTTCTTTTTTCTCTCTCAATTAAAACATATTTTCTTAGAAAAATAGTATATGGAGGACAACGAGACCCTATATTTCCCTGTGCGTTTTATCATTCTTCTTTCTTTTCGAGGGTTAACAAGATGCTGATTGTCACGTTACGTCATATGGCTTATCAGGATTCAATAGCATCACCACGTACACAAACTAAATAACTGATTGGAATCAATCCGATCAGGATAAATTTCTATGTATTTGCACCAATGTGACATAAGAAAATCTGAGCACTTTCTAAGAGGAATTATACTGCACACACCGTATTTGCGCGTGACGAAGCCGCGAACAGCCCGCGACGAAATCCATTAGGACTCGTCCGAAGACATTCCCCGCGCGACCGTCTGATTTTAATGCAAAGACGACTTAAAGCACTCGGAGGCATCGAAGTCGGCGCAGGCAAGCGTCAGGTCGTCTCCATTCCGGGCGACACTCGCGAAACTTTTCCGCTTTCTTCCAGGACTAAGACTCTGCATATTTCCCGACATTTAAACTTACCCGGCAGCTCTCGAGCGACGACGAGACGAGACAGAATGAGACGGGACGGGGTGGTGCTGCGGCAGCGGAGCCACAACGAGTAACTTTCTTTCCACCCCCGCACGTCCGCCTGATTTTCCCTTCACGAGCGCTTCGCGTCTACGTAATTCCATGAATACTGGAGCGTCCCTTTCTTATCTTGCACTTGCATTTGCTCTTTGTGAATCGCGTCCTGAAGTGGGCCGCGATTCGAGTCGATTGAGCGAAGAAAAACGCATGCACGAGACCTCTCTCATCGTCCTCGTCTTGCGCGCCCCGCAGCGGGGAACAATAACGTTATTGTACAAAATTCGCGAAAAGAGGCGGTTGATAAAATGTGCGCCGGCTGGTATTATCTTTTACGTAAAGATTTACCGGGAAATATGGAGATTACAGTCTTTGAGACGATTTTATATTTACCAAGTGCAAAAGGAAAGACAAAATATCATTCTTGCCAAAATGGAAATTTTTAAATTTTCTGACAGACTTTATTATTAATATTTTGTCTCTCCCGTCTCTCTCTCTCTCTCTCTCTCTCTCTCTCTCTCTCTCTCTCTCTCT